AATGAAATACAAAAGGAATGATTTTGTCCAGTGTACGTGGCATAGCTGGTAGTGTTTGAACTGATGAAACTGTTGATCTCTGGTGCAGGATGTGTATGAGAGGTGGAACGAGAGCGCAATAAAGGAGTATGCTTAACAACGGGCTGACTGCATGGTAGTTATCGCTTTGCACTTGTCGCGTTGATAGCATCCTTTCAATCACTGTGTTTACTGAAGGTCGTTTACAAAGCCTAATGGTCGGACGAGTAGTCAGCCGTTGTGCGTTTGCGCATGCGTGAAGTCTCTCTCCTCTTTCTGTTGGTGTCTTTTCTCTGGGATCTTATAGCCTATATAAGGAAAACACGCGGACGTAGTTGAAATCGCCTCAATAATGGTGTGCACTCTGATATATTTGTATTTCTTTTAAAATTTGTTTTGAGCAGAGTACGGCATATGTGTCACTTAGCTAGACGAAAACTGGTGTGTAGTTAGAGATACATTTTTCTAATAATTCTGTAAATTTGGCTTTAACTTGTTATCTCTATGTGTAATTTGTATTTTCCGCTACAGATCTATTCAACGTAGCTTGTTTCAACATTTGCCATGGAAATAGAGATAGCGAGAGGATTGCAACGTTGCGTCAATGTGAAAGAAGTTGTAGAGTGAAAATAATTTATCATCCACAAGAGCGTGTAAATACTTTTGAACTCTATTAAGGCTGGGAAGTAAAGATTGGACAGTCCCAGCTCAGATATGATAGTAGTATTATTGGTCTGATCTGACACTTGTAAAGACGTATCCTAGCAGGAGGAATCAAGTAATTTTTTGCGTGGCACAAGGAACGAACTATTTTACCAACATCTCTAGCAATGGGATTATATATATATATATATATATATATATATATATATATATATATATATACGAGGTTTGATCAAAAAGTTTCGGGACTGTTGCTATGGTAACAGAGCTAAAGTATGCAGAGTGAAACCACTTGGTATAAGTTGACCTTCAACTCTGTTGCGCACATTGACTATATAACGTTCTCGCTTCCCACTGTTTTTGGTTCCTTTATGCTTGGAAGGAAAGTGTGTAGAATGTGGGCGTCTCGTCACACCACGGTTGCTTCATAAGTGACCATGACTTGTGCAGCAGTTTTGGGGCCAAGAACGACGTTCCCCAGTGCGACTACATTGTGCAGATAATTGCAATTTTTTCATTTTTCAAAACTCAAATCCCATTTGAAAGGAACAAGATTTCAAGCAGTCCAAAAGTATGCCACAAGGATCCGGTATTACTCATCGCACACACACACACACACACACACACTATATATATATATATATATATATATATATATATATATATATATGTGTGTGTGTGTAAAATTCAGATATAAATAAAATATATCTATAAAACATTATGAAAATAGACAAATGGAAAACTTTTAACCAATGCATTTCATCATCGGAGAGACTATACATTTGTCTTAGAGGAGGAAATGCATTGGTTCGTTATCCCATAACGGAATTCCAGGAATGCTTCCATCAATCGAAAAGACCCTGGATAAAGTATGTTGCTTCAGAAGTGACTACTTCGTAGGAGATTTAATGTCGAATTGATATGTGTTGTAGTTTCATTTTTATAGCAACAATACCAATATTTTTATCATCTCTCGTATAATAAGTGGAAGACAGAGAGAGGGGGGGTAAAAGGGTTCTTTTCTATTTCGGCTGAGAGTAAAGTTAATATTAAATATAACTTGTTTTTAAGCAGGAAACATTCGGTATTCACCGTTTGAACATTTTGTTACTGTCGGTTGAAATTTATAATAGACAGTTTATATTTTCATAAAGCATTTTTTTTCCAGGAAAATATTTTCAAGATTACTAACTGCTATCGCTCTTTTTAATCTTTATCGTATTCTCATTTAGATGCTAGATTTCCCAACCATTTAAAACAAACTCATTAGGTCGGTAGTTTGCCGCTTTCCGCTGTCACTCTTGAGTTCAGTTTGTCTTGTGAGTATCAAATTTTCCAAGTCCTCTGTAGAATGTGACATTGGATTTTGGCGTTGCGTTTTTTTCCCCCTATCTTTAAAAAGAACTGCGCAGATATGTCATTTTTCGTACTTTCTTGAATCTGTCATTTCCAATTCGTATTTCCTGTTTTTTTTTTTTTTATGACAGCCATATATCCGGTTTTCCTTAAATTGATACTTACTCTTTTCTTCTTATATTTTACTACAGTAATAAAAAATAAAGTGATATTTAAAATAAAATCATTTACCTGGTTCTAAAATCAGCTGTTATGTGTTTAACAAAAGTCTAACGTAGCAAAAATCTGAAATTTCAAATTTGGGATACGTGCTTCTTCTGATTACTATAATTATATGATATTAAATTCAATCGATTTGTCAAAATATCTGGCCCTAACGAACGTTTTGACGCGAATTTCCGGAATCGGACAAGAAAAGCCACGTTGTGTCTGTGGGAAAGGGGTTGTAGGCTTGGAAATAATTAATCCCCCATAAGGATACGTTAACGGTTTAAAACTCGATCGAGGCTGGAAAGTGAGGATAGGGCAGTTCCGCACAGATATAGAAGTAATACTCTCTTTTTGGCTTGATCTAATTTTTGTAAAGATATATCATGGAACAAGGAGACGGATGCTTTCTTGAACGGCGCAAAGAACAGACAATTTTCCCAACATTTTTAGCGATGGATGGTATGTTTGTGTTCCATCTGTGCTGAACTTGAGTTTGAGTAGATGTTAGTGGCTCTCAATGCATGGAATAGAAACGATATATTATAAAATTAAACAAAGGAAATAATCTAATAAAGAAAAAGGAACTAAATTATTTTGAACTGTCTGCCCGGGGTTACATTTAAAATTCATAAAAAGAACAATAAATTTCGAAAATTTTATTAAAAAAACAGCCAACCATATTGAAAATCGGTAAGCGTGAAACAAAGTTGTAAATGGGTAAACATTTCTGTCTAAAATACGAAAATTGGCTTCCTGTCCGGACATTTATAATAAAAGAGAAATTATAGTCTTATATTGAATGGTCAAAAGATAATTGTTATTAAAAAGATATATTTTCAGTACAAAATCGAGAGAGTCTCTGTGTCCGCTTGAGAAAGAATTTTAATTTAACTGAAGACATCCTCTGTGTTTAGTAAGTGCAAATACCAAATTTGAGGGTGTAGCCGATAAAAACAGGACATAATTATTTACAATTGTATATATAGATATAACAAAAAAGAATTAAGGAAATAGAAGAGAAAAAGAAAGAAGCAGTGATAAAAAAAAGAAAGAAAGAATCTATATCTGTGTGTATGTATGTGTGTATGTAAGTGTATGTGTATGTACGTATGTGTGTGTATGTATGTGTGTGATTGGATGTTTTGTTTATGCGTTTTCACAGTTTTCATCTGATTTCGATGAAATTTTTTTTTTGTTTTATAGATAATTCTTCTGTCCCGGTTTTCAGTCCAAATTGGCTGGAAAAAATTCCAACCTTGAAAGTGAAAATTCGAAAAAAACTGATTTTTTTTACACTTTGCGCAAAAATCAAAGGAAAATTTTAGTTTACTTTTTTACAAATAACCTTCCAATCCTAGCTTATGCTGTGTGGGCGTGATTCACAACTCCACACGTTGCCCATCAGTTGCTGCTGAAGCTTGATAATTGTTGGGGCCAGAATGGACTGATCTCTCTACTACTAATAGGACAGTTCTATAGAGTTCTGGGAAGATCAGGTGACCATCACACTTCCGTCTTTCTACCGGAAGATACAGTTGGACTTTATACTCTTTCTGATTGTTACTGACTAACCTGCGTTCGTTTGACTACTAATCTTTCTGTTGTAAATACCTCTTCAGATATACCAGCATTTTCCCTACGTATGTGTTTGTCCTTATTTCAATACACGCACGGGGAAACACCCAACATCTCAATAATTAACGCGTGGAGCAACGCGTGTACGTGTGGCTTTGCAACATGCGCTGTGTCACGCGATGTGTCACACGCTGAGGACGCGCATACTCATGATCTGCGGAAAGCGTCACCTGTTCGAGTTGCCCATTGACTGCACGGAGCCCCTTTACACGTCCAATCAAATGTCGCCGTGTCATACTGATTGCCTACGCAATCCTAAGCTCATTGCTACCGCTTAATTCCGCTTCTACTTCTGTACGTCCAGCCCTGCTTACACTTACACTCTCTTGGCCAAGCTTCAATCTCTCTCAAGTGAGTCTACCTTTTCCATTGCATAAAGTCTACTACTACAGTTTTAAGGCGCTGCTTTCATTGTCGTTTATAGCCGTTCCCAAGTTATTTTTTTATTGTCCTGCTAGTTTTTGCCTTGCATTCACCTTAGTAATAAATAAGCTTGCTTTCTAATTAATCAACATTTATTTTTCCAAACTAAAGTTATTCGAGCTTAGTGATTCCTGTAGCTTTACAGAGTTCTCTTCTGGTATTTACCCATACATTCCATTTGACAGTTAATACTAGCCTAAGACATGCCACCAAAGAAAAGAACTTGACTAGGCCGCTGCTGCCAGATCCGCCATGCGAAAAGGAAATAACGAATCGTCTTTATAACGTTAAGTTCGCCTGTTTCAAAATACCTCTCGGAATGCTTCAATCAGAGCCACCGAGTCCGAAGATCAACGTAGCCGTCGGCTTTCCAGAAGAGCATACCTGAACGTTTCTGCGCGCGAAGCTCAAAATGATGATCAAAGGACTCAGCGGCTGAGGAGTAACGCCTCTTCAACTGCTGCTGCGCGTGAGGCTGAAACAAGTTTGAGAACGCAAAAACGGAGCAACTCCCATTCAAATCGTTACCGCCCCCATTTGGGAATGTGCCTCAGTTGTACCCAATTGTTTTAACGAATATTGATTTTCGGTTGGGCTGAATTTAAACTTAAACTGCTTCAATTGAACGGCAAAAAGTCCCAGTAATGAAAGAACCGGTCAAAGACGGGTTATACTGCTAGTAACAGAAATAAAAATTAGAGAAAAGGGAGAGATATATTGAAAGAAAGAAAGAAAGAAAGAAAAAAAGAATAAAGAAAGAAAGAGAGAAAGGGCAAAGAGAAAAGAAAATAGAGAAAGAAATAAAGAAAAACGAAAAAAAGAAAATTGAAAAAGAAGATAGGATAAAAATAAAGAGTAGAAACACAGAAAAGGAGTAAAAGTATGAATAGATAGCTAAGAATGTAAGAAAGAAAGAAAGAAAGAAAGAAAGAAAGAAAGAAGCAAAAGAATACGATAAAACTTACAAAGAAACACAAAAGAAAGAAAGAAGCAAAGAATACGATAAAACTTACAAAGAAAGAAAGAAAGAATGTAATATAACTAACACAGAAAGAGATAAGAACGGGAAATGAATGACGAAAGAAAGAAAAAATACAATATAGCATAAAAGAAAAAGAAAATACGAGAAATGAAGAAAGAAACAATACGATATAACTTACAAAAAAAAGGAGAAATGAAGAAAGAAAGAAAGATATAAAGAATACAATGTAACTTACAAAGAAAGGGAAAGGAAGCATAAATGAAGAAAGAAATAATACAACTTAAAAAGAAAGAGAAAATGAAAGGGAAATGCAGAAAGAAAGAAAGAAAGAAAGAAAGAAAGAAAGAAAGAAAGAATAAGAAAAACTTACAAAAAAAGGGAAAGGAAGAGGAAATGAAGATTACGATATAACGTCCAAAAAATGGAAAAGACGGAGAAATGAAGAAAGAAAGAATATGGGAAATTTAAAAAGAAGAAAAGAAGGGGAAATGAAACAGAAAGAATGAACGAATACGATATAAATTAGTAAGGAAAGGAAAAGATGGGAAAATGAAGAAAGAAAGAAGGAAAGAAAGAAAAAGATATATCTTGCAAAGAAAGAGAAAAGAAGGAGATAATATAATATAACTAACAAAGAAAGGAAAGAAAAGGGGAAATGTCGAAAGAAAGAATACGCTATATCGAAGAAAGAAAAGGAAAAGAAGACAAAAATGAATAATGATAGAAAACATGTAAAGTATATAATATGACTTACCAAAAAAGGAAAAGAAAAGAAAATGAAGATATAAATAAAGAAAACGATATGTCTTATAAAGTAAAAAATTGGAAAAGAAGGAAAATGAGAAAAGAAAGAAAGATATAAAGAATACAATATAACTTACAAAGAAAGGGTAAATAATTGGAACGAAAGAAAGAAAGAAAGAAAGAATATGATATAACTTACAAAGATAAGGGTAAATAATTGGAACGAAAGAAAGAAAGAAAGAAAGAAAGAATATGATATAACTTACAAAGATAAGGGTAAATAATTGGAACGAAAGAAAGAAAGAAAGAAAGAAAGAAAGAAAGAAAGAAAGAAAGAATATGATATAACTTACAAAGATAAGGGAAAGAATTGGAAAGGAAGAAAGATCGAAAGAAAGAAAGAATACGAGATAATTTACAAAGAGAGAGAAACGAAGGGGAAATGAATAAATAAAGAATGAACGAATATGATATAACTTAGAAAGGAAGGAAAGTTAAAATGAAGAAACAAAGAGAGAATACGATATAACTTAGAAAGGGAAATAAATGGGAAATGAAGAAAGAAAGAAAGAAAGAAAGAAAGAAAGAAAGAAAGAAAGATTACCACATAACATACAAACAAAGGAAAATGAAAAGTAAATGAGAAAAGGAAGAAAGAAAATATACAATATAGAACTGACATAGAAATGTAAAATAATGGGAAATGCAGAAATGAATAAAGAATATGATATAATTTTCAAAAGAAGGGAAAAGAAGGAAAGAACACAATATAACTTACATAAAAAAGGAAAAGAAGGGGAAATAATGAAAGAAAGAATAAGATATAACATAGAAAGAAAGGGAAAAGAAAAGGAAATGAAGAAAGAAATAAAAGAAGGAAAAAAGAAAGAAAGACCTAAAGAATACTATATAACTTATGGAGAAAGTGAAAAGAAAGAAAGAAAGAAAGAAAGAAAGAAAGAAAGAAAGAAAGAATAAAAGAAAGAAAGAAAGAAAGAATACGATAAAATAAACAAAGAAAGGGAAAAGGAGGGAAAATAAAAACCATAAGATGGACGAAAAAAGAAAGTGAAAAGAAAGAGAAGTGAAGAAAGAAAGAATACGATATAACATACAAAGAAAGGGAAAAGACGAAGAAATTAAGAAAGAAATAAAGAAAGAATACACGAATACGATATAAATTAGTAAGGAAAGGAAAAAGAAAGGGAAAAGAAGGAGTAATGAAGAAAGAAAAAAAGAAAAACAAAAAATACACTATAACTTAAAAAAGAAGGGGAAATGGAGAAAGAAAGAACGAAAGAATAACATGTAACTCACAAAGAAACTGAAAAGAATGTGAAAGGAAGAAAGAGAAAGATTACCATATAACTTACAAAGAAAGGGGAAAAGGTGGAAATAAAGAAAGAAAGAAAGATGTAAAGAATACAATATAACTGACAAAGAAAGGGGAAAAGGTGGAAATAAAGAAAGAATACGATAAAACGTACAAAGAAAGGGAAAAGAAAGTGAAAGAAAGAAAGAATACGATAAAACATAAAAAGAAAGAAAAATACGATAAAACGTACAAAGAAAGGGAAAAGAAAGTGAAAGAAAGAAAGAAAGAAAGAATACGATAAAACGTACAAAGAAAGGGAAAAGAAAGTGAAAGAAAGAAAGAAAGAATACGATAAAACATAAAAAGAAAGAAAAATACAATAAAACGTACAAAGAAAGGGAAAAGAAAGTGAAAGAAAGAAAGAAAGAAAGAATACGATAAAACATAAAAAGAAAGAAAAATACGATAAAACGTAAAAGAAAGGGAAAAGAAAGTGAAAGAAAGAAAGAAAGAAAGAAAGAAAGAAATAAAGAAAGAATACGATAAAACATAAAAAAAAAAAGAAAATATGATAAAACGTAACAAAAAAAGGGAAAAGAAAGTGAAAGAAAGAAAGAAAGAAAGAATACGATAAAACATAAAAAGAAAGAAAAATACGATAAAACGTACAAAGAAATGGAAAAGAAAGTGAAAGAAAGAAATAAAGAAAGAATACGATAAAACATAAAAAGAAAGAAAAATACGATAAAACGTACAAAGAAATGGAAACATGGGGAATATGCAGAAAGACGTATAGCATACAATATAACTATCGAAACTATATAAAAGAAAAAAAAGGATAATGAAGAAAGAAAGAATACGATAAAATAAAGAAAGAGGAAAATAAGGGAAATGAAGAAAGAGAAAGACAAAGAATACTATATAGCTAAGAAAAAAAAAGTGGGAAATGAAGAAAGAAATACAGAAAGAAAAACGGCAATATAACTTAAAAAGAAAGAGAAGAGAAGACACAATAAAGAAAAGAGAAAGAATAATATATGACGTACAAAGAAAGGGAAATAAATGGGAAATGAAGAAAGCAAGAAAAAGTAAAATATAATTTACAAAGAAATGGAAAAGAAGGGAAAATTAAATAAATAAAGAAAGGAAGAATAGCCTATAATTAACAAAGAAAGAGAAAAGGAGGGTAAATAAAGGACGAAAAATACGATATACTTAAAAAGAAAGGGGAATGAAGAAAGAAAGACAGAAACAAACAAACAAGAGGACGATTTAACTTAGAAAGGAAGGGAAAAGATTGAAATATGATGGAAGAAAGAAAGTAAAGAAAAATACGTTGTAAATTCAATAGAAAGGGATAAGAAGTGGAGAAAGAGAGAAAGAATAACTTATAAAGAAAGACAAAGAACAGGATATAACTTACATAGAAAGAAAAAAGAAATGTAGAAGAAAGAAAGAATATGATATAACTTACAAAGGAAGTGAAAAAAATGGGAAATGAAAAAAATGAAAGAAAAAAGAAAGAAAAAAGAACGCCTGACATATGAGATATAACTTACAAAGAAAGGAAAATGAAGAGAAAATGAAGAAAGAAAAAATGCCTTACATCTTAACAAAGAAAAGGAAAAAGTATGAAAAATTAAGAAAGAAACAAATAATGCAATATCGCTAACAAACAATGGGATAAAAAGGTCAAATGAAAAAAGGAAGAAATAATGCGATATAATTTACAAAGAAGGGGAAAAAGAAAGGGAAAAGGAGGGGAAAGAAAGAAAGAGAGACTACGATATAACAAAGAAATGGAAAAGAAGGAGAAATAAAAGAAGAAAGAAAGAATACAATCTAATTTAAAAAGAAAGAGAAATGAAAGGGAAATGAAGAGAGAGAAAGAAAGAAATAATACGTTATAACTTAAAAAGAAAGAGAAAAGAAAGGGAAATGAAGAAAGAATGAAAGAAAGAAATAATGAATGCCACATAACTTACAAAGAAAGGGAAAAGAAGGCTAAAATGAAAAAAATAAAGGAAAAACGATACATCTTGTATAGGGGAAAGAAAGAAACAAAGAAGACTACGATATAACATACAAAAATGGAAAAGAAAGAAAGAAAGAAAGAATACGTTATAAGTTAAAAAGAAAGAGATCAGAAAGGAAAATGAAGAAAGAAAGAAAGAATACAATATAACATACAAAGAAAGGGAAAAGAAAGAGAAATGAAGAAAGAAAATAGAAAAACATAAAGAATACTATATAACTTAGAAAAAAGTGAAAAGATTTGGAAATGAAGAAAGAATTTAAGAACATGATATAAAATACAAAGAAACGAAAAAGAAGAAGGAATGAAGAAATGAAGAAAGAATACTTTATAATTTACATAGAAAGGTAAAAGAAGGGGAAATATAGGAGAAAGAAAGAATACGATATAACTTAGAAAGGGAGGTGAAGAAAAATTTATACAATAACTCACAAAGAAAGGGAAAAGAAAGGAAATTTTGAAAGCGAGGCAGAATACGATTTAACCTACATAAAAGAAAGAACGTAAGAAGTTGTATTGATGTAAACAAGCGACATAATGAGAAACCAAAAAGAGGGAAAGAAAGAAGACATGCAGGAAATGAAAAGGTTTAACGAATTCAATAAGTTCTATAAAAATATGCAAGTGAGAAAGAAAGAAAGAAAGAAAGAAGGAAGGAAAGAAAGAAAGAGAAAACACACGTAACAGATGCAACGGGAAATAACTCTTTGTAAATGATATTTTATATACATTTTAAATATTTTAATAAACAATGCATTCTGCTGAAAAGTCAAAATAAACTCATCGTCTGAAAAAAAAACGGAATTAAAAAACTTTTCATTGAAATTCTTTGATTATAAATTTCTTTTACCGTATAATGTTTAAATTATACGATATTTTGTCAGCGATCGACAGTACTAGAGTTTAATAAAAACACATCGAAAAAATGAAATAACTGCATTCTGGACTTATGAATAAAATTACTTCATTTTTTTTAGAAATAAATATAAATTTTGCCCCACCTAAAATTTCATGAAATAAAAAAAATTTAATCTCAAAATTTGTTTTATCACTAAATTGTCAAAATCTTTAGTTAAAATCAATTCGAAAAAAAAAGAAAGACCAAAACTATTTTTTTGATTATTTTTATTGAATTTTCTAAAATCGATGAATAATTTTTTACAAGTAACATTTTAATTATAATTTTATAATGAAATTATTTCAGTCCGTTAGGTAATTAAGTGAAAACTGTTATTAAGAAAACTATTTACGAAATAAAAATTGAAAACAGAATAAAAGTCATTTAAATATCTTTTTTTAAAACCTTTATCATTACGTATCGACGTTTGAATATTTACGATTAGAGTTTTTTAAATTCCGTTTTCAATATTTTCTAAAATATTTAAGATTACCGAGGACTTAAAAAAAATGCACATCGATTTGTAAAAACTTAAAGTAAATAATATTTTTTTTCAAATCAGATTAATTATACTTTAAATCAGCTACTAAATAAATAACTTTTGGATTTTCAAAAATAAACCTTTTCATTTTCTGAAAGCGACTTATTATTAAATTATTAAATGAATAAAATTTCAATTTTCATTTTTTTTTAGTAAATTTAATCATTTATTGTCAATATATTTTAAACCTGGGCGTAATATTTTTTGTGAAAAATTCTTTGATGGATAGACAGACAGACAGACAGGTAGGTAGGTAATTTTTTTTTTATATTTTAGATCATTCTTGAAGACGATTCATTTTGCCTGCTGAGTCCACTAAACAAATTGATTTCCATTTCATGAAATTTATCTGATAAGTTGCTCTTCAAATCTAAAACATGGACCTCCTGCATTTTAATCTCAAAATTTGTTTTATCAATAAAACAGGACTCCTTGTATGAGAATTTAAATCACCTGTTATACATTAGATTTTTTTGTAATACAGAACCACATAGTTACCGAAAATCTTCTTTAATTCGTAAAAAAAAAAAACTGCAACAAAATGCTGATTTGATATTAAAGATTTTGTACTTTCAGATGGTCTTTCTTCAGGCTTTTGTTTTCTACTTTCAGTGGTCTTTCTAAATTTGTCGACTGTTGTGTTTTTCACACGACAGAGTTGCTTCGGAGTATATATATATATATATATATATATATATATATATATATATTAATTTCTTCGTAGATTGTTTTAAAATTTAGATATTTATCAAACCTAATTGGCACGTTAAAGTAACGGAATGACAGCGTCTAGAATTTGAATGAAACCTGTCGTGTAATTTATTGGGGTTATTGTAACGTCTTCCTTAATGTAGTCCTTATCGCTCATAACCACCTTTTATCAATTAGACTATTAGATTTGAAACATCCATTTTATCTTCAAAATCATCTAAAATGATAAGACACACTCATATCCTCTCTCCCACCTCACTTCCTCACTTCGTTAACTTTGCGTATACTTGAAACAAAGAACCCTGTTAAGGGGGTTATGGTGAAATAGCTTATTACATGGAATCTTAACGTGTCTTTTTTTTATTCAATATATATATATATATATATATATATATATATATATATATATATATATATATATATATATATATATCAAGTAATATAATTATATAATGAATTCCAATAACCAACAACTTATTCTTAAAAGATTTTACTTCAACATCATCACTTGATAAGACACTGAGTATGTTGAAACAAAATGGCTATTTTGTATGATTTTATATATATATATAAATATATATATATATATATATATATATATATATATATATATATATATATGCACATTTCATTGAATACGACAGACAAGGTGCTTTTATTTAGTTTTTATAAAATTTCTCATGCTAATTCTCAGTTTTAGCTCTCTCCATAAATTTTCAATCAGATTGACATCTGGCGATTGACTTGGCCATTTCTAGAACATTTATTCGTCTTTCTACTTAACCATGATTAGAATCGTTGTCTTGTTGAAAAACCCAACCTGGTTTCAAACCCAGTGAATATGCAGCAGACGTAAATTTCTCTCCAAAACACACCTATAATATGCTGCATTCATCCTACCTTCTATTTTTTCAATTTTCCCTACGCCTTGGAGACTAAAGCAACCCCAGGTCATGATTGATCTGCCTTCAAATTTTATTGTTTGGATAGTATTTTTCGGTGAATATTCATTACCCTTATTTCTCCAGACCTTTACTACAGCATTTCTGCCAAAAATTTCAGTTTTCCTTTCATCTGACCAAAACGTTGCAGGTTTGGTTCAATGCTCGTTTGCAAAATCCATTCTAGCAAAAACGTGTTTTCGCGTAAGATGTGTTTTTTTTTTTCTTGGAGTCCCCGAAAGATTTCATATCTACGAAGTGAACGAATAATAGTATGCGAACTCACTTTTACTCCACCTACTTTTAGTCCTCCCTAAAATTCTTTAAGCGTAACTGGGACTCGTTGCTAACTTTTCTCGCCAATAATCTTGTATATTCCGTTACCTTTCTAGGACAACAAGAGCTTTTTAGGGGACAAATGGAATGACACATATTCCAGTGACGAACTAACTAAACTTAATGGTACATTTAACTGAACAGGTACCTTCCTATAAAAAAGTTCATTTGTATGAAGGTCAACAATACGTTTACGGAGGTCTTGATTAATTATTTTGCTTTTCCCCATTTTGTCAAGAATGACGCAATACTTTTAATCATTTCTAAAAGTAAAATTAAAATTAATCTGGAACGTTTTAAAAAACAACACCATCCTAATTTGGAACATTCTAGTAAAATTTGAACACATTTACGTTATGGTAAATTTTGAATTACTAAATATCGTTATTTCTCAGAGTTATACTTTTTTGAAGTTTTTAAAAAAATCCGATGTTTCGACTGAATACCTAAATATATGTTCTACGAACAGTAAAATTTAATTAATGTAAGTGTATTAGAAATAACTAAAAACAGTTTTTGTAATGTGTTGTAAACTTTGCGTGGCACTATAGATAGATAATGAACTAGATAGATAGATAGATAGATAGATAGATAGATAGATAGATAGATAGATAATTAACAGATGAAATAGATAATGAACTGAAATAGATAATTGATATATATTTATATATATATATTTATATATATATATATATATATATATATATATATATATATATATGTGTGTGTGTGTGGTTCTGTGTGTGTGTGTGTGTGTGTGTGTATGCATATAGAGAGACAGAGATATAAAAGATAATATAGCTAGATGAATAGAGAGACAATGAGCAGACTGATATATATATATATATATATATATATATATATATATATATATATATATAGAGAGAGAGAGAGAGAGAGATAGATAGATAGATAGATAGATAGATAGATAGATAGATAGATAGATAGATAATGAACAGAATAGGATAGACAGATAGCTAGATCCATCGATCAGAAGGAGTCCCTGCTTAAACGTGACCCAAGATATTTCGTAGTTATATATAAATCGAGATAAACAAAAAGATCAACTAAAATTGATAAACAATTTGAAACTGATAATCGATTCCAATGAGTGAGATATCTACATCGGAAGATTTATGACCTAACGATCTCATACATTTATTGAGTCTTTAGCCCTAAAACAAATATTTTACTCGGCGAGAAAATTGTCACTTTTCGTAATGGAAGTTCGAATCCATCATAATTTTGTAAAAGACAGCAGCAAATATTTTATGATTCTTAACTGTGAAAAACGTTAAAAAAGAAGAAAAAAAATTACCACATAAATGACAGAACGAAGAAACGAAAGCAAAACACTGCAGTTGAGAGCTGAGCTGGCGTTTTGTGATTGAAAGGCAGTTGTGTAATCTGATTAGAAGATTAGAAAGATAAAAGAGCAAAGTATAAGGCACGTAGCAAACCAAGAGAGAACAGGCCACGTCCCAACCCCACTAGAAAAAGAAAGAAAATATAATTAGGATTTAATAGGAATTGTTCGATCGGAATTTTATGTTGTAATAAAATATCTCCGTCATGAAATGTCAACACGATGGGTGATAAAATTGTTTTATATTGCAACATCAGAGTCCATATATATATATATATATATATATATATATATATATATATATATATATATATTTTATTAAATAGAACGCACAAGGAATATACAAGTTTACACTCGGCATCAAACGTCTTCCTCAACACGAGAACAAACTTGGCAAAAAGCTTAAGCCATTTCCTCTCCGATCTCCTTAATAGGGCATTAAAGGAAAGATTTCTGCTTAAGTATATTATCATATCATTATCATAATTGTGCTTGTGCCCGCCTTTGTTAGTTAGCACGACCATTACTTCCTGTTAATATCTCATAAATAATTGACTATTCCGTGATGTGTTCGCGTGGAAAGAGTGTAAAAGACATTACTTGGTTTCAGTGAGAAAATGAAAAAAAAAAAAAAAAAAAAAAACACAGAAAGGACCATAGAAATGGAAAGATAGAATTAGATTGATAAGAACAGATACTACACTTTGATCTCATTCAAAAGGCTGAAAACTCCTTGTGACCGCGACTAAAAGTGGCATTTTTCAGGCACACAATATCGA